CATTTCTTGCTGGGTATAGGGCTAGCTCCACACGTAGAGCTGTAGTGGCGCTCTTTTACAAAACAGACAGATTGTAAAAGCATGGAGGAAGGAGGGGAACCACCACAGCCCTACGTCATGTACGTGTGGGGCTATACCCAGGGGCTAGCCTGAAAAACAGAGAAAATCCCAAAATTGTTTTAAATAATGCTGGACTAAGATACCATAAAACTAGTGTAATGATGGCAGACCTAATGTAGTACATATTTGTCTCAAGTTACTGGATTAGTGCTAAACTGCTAAAAGTGTCCAGTTCTTTTTTCAGATTCTGTGCCTGTTGCCTACTTAGCCCATGGTTAGCCATGTGTACTTCGTGCGTAGAGATGAGTACCCGTACCACGTAGTGCCTACTGGAGCTTCACTTGTCAGCGCGCTCAGCGCATGTGCAGGGCACTAATACAGTATGCGGGAAACCGATCAACTACAGAGGGCTCTATTTACGGGACGATGGTCCTCGGATCTGTGATGGATTTCAGTTTTTATATGGTTGTACTGCCAGCATTCGTACGCTGTCCCATACGGAGCGCATAATGTTGCAGAATTTAACCAAATCTTTTATTGGATCTTTTCCGTTTGCCTACCTGGCCAAACAATGGAGATCGGAGACGCTGTTATTACATTGACGTAAGATTTCAGAATACTTGGTTAAACCAGGGCATTTTTGCGAGTTATTTAAATAATCGTAAACAATGTACTAAATTCAACAATTGCCTGTCTAGTTTGAAACCCATCTCACTGCGGAGTACCCCAGGGCTCTCTACTGGGACGTTTGCTCTTTATTTATATTAATGATATCTCAAAAACATCAGACCTGTTATCTTTTATATTATATGCCGATGACACCAGTTTATTTTATTGAAACAAGGATATTAATTCTCTATATAATATTGTTAATACCGAATTGGTCAGTATATGTGATTGGTTAAAAGCAAATCGTTTATCTCTTAATTTATCTAAATGTAGTTATATAATTTATATATAATTTTCTGCCTGTCAATTTAACATTAAATACTCTGGTCCCTAACTTTGGAATATTCTACCATCCTCACTAAGATTTTCAAGATCAAAAACCATCTTTAAGCGGCAACTTAAGATCTTTCTCATGTAAAGCAATATAATTTTCATTGTCACAATGACTACTTCTGATCATATTCATAGCCATGAAAATTAACTTAACTTTTTCATAGTCCATCTTCAATAATTACTCTATAATTGCCTAGAGCTACAATAATTTGCTGTTTCTTATAGTAATTTGTATGTATGTTTTGTTTAATGGCGTGCCTAACACAAGCTTTGCTTTTAAGGTGTTGCCACCTCTACTGGCATATATATGTCTTTTAGACTTGTCTTATTATTGTTATTTCTGCCACTGGAGGAAATAAATGTGTTTGTGACCAGGCATGTTTCGGAAAATTGTTCCTAGAGGTTTCTCTTCATAGAAAACGATTCTGTAACCATCGGATCTACAGAATGCAGACATTGGGCATTCCTTGTCCGGGATTACCGATTTCTGTGCGATCACAGAAAGTGAGGATTTCAAGCGGTTCCTTTCGAACTAACAGGATCCAGTGAAAAAAGTGTAGCTTCTTAGGCTGCGCTTTAAAACCAGTATGTTTTTGTATACACAATGCAGTGGTATAGTGTTTGATTGTGGAATATGATGCTACTTAAATTTCGTCTACGGGTTTGAACTCTGTCGATGATGAGACCGCATGTAGGGCTGATATAACTCAGTTTTAAAATTGACGTGATGATCATTTAGGAATTAACGATCAAAGAACAAAGGAGATTATTTTTGACTTCCGGAAAGACTACTGCTACATCTCTGAAGATCAGAAATGGGGATGTAGAGGTTGTTATGTTGCCTATATCACAAGTACCTTGGGACTTTCAACTTAGATGAGGATTGAGCAGGAACGTATACATAAATACTTAGCATTGTGTTGAAAAGCATTTCAAAGGCCTGACGTTCTTACGTAAACCCACACCTTTTCAGATTGACCTCGATATCGTCTCTTTGTTCTATGAAAGCGTTATCTAATCAACTATAACATTTACCATTACTGCATGTTGTAATTCTGTGATCAACAATCTGAAGATACTGAGGAGGATCTGCAGATTTTCTGGACACGTCCTTTATAAACTCTGCGAAAAATTACGAATAGGTCAGGGAGGACTGTGTCATCATTTTAAACGTACTAACCGAAACAAATTTTCAATATTTACAATTTGCAACTCGCATTTTGAACAAAAGAGTTTTTAGCTAGGAACTGCTTATATATTTATTGGGACCGGAGTTCAAGTTCTCCATTGTTCTTTTTAGTTTCCTTGGACATAATCGTGTTTCTCTTTTCTTAATTAGACTAAGTGTTGATTTTCAATGTATTTTGATTAAACATTTTTATGATTGTAACGAGGATGTCAAAATTCACGTTTTTAATGTGACGGTACGTGAACTGGACTCGCCACGAGCACGAGGAATCTTCTTACGAGTTTGAGAACGAGTACGAGTACATTTTCATGACCGGGCCTAAGAGTAGGCCTACCCAAAACGTACTACGAATGCAAGCACAATACTACACGAAAACTTAGTCGAATGTATTACAGCTCTTTAATAAGGGAAGTTAATCGGTAGCTTTTTTTTGGGGGGGGGGTAAACGAACCGTTTTTCATGTACAAAAAGGAAGAAAGTTCTTTCCCATATTATGAATTTTAGTTGTTTTTAAGTCTGACAAGAGAACGTTTATGTTGATTTTAATTGTAACGTGTGTGCGGCGTGATTATTAGCATGCATACGTTTGTGTAAATAATTGAATTAAGAGGCATTAAATGGCCCGGTGGATTCTTTTTCCCCAAATTCAGAGGCATCCTTGGACACAAGGCAATGAAAGATATGCACTATCAATGTGTTTGATTTCATATAGCAACTCCATGTTCTTGTCATACTTTTCAAAATCTCAAAAATAATGATAAAATCTGCACCATGAATGTTCACAAAGGATGGAGGGAACAGTAGGAAAAAATGGAAGAAACGACACTCCAAATTTAGGTACTGGCCACTAAGTCTCTGGACGAAATATTTTTTTTCTGTTTATGCCATGATTCGAAATTGTGAAATTATGGAAGAAAACGTGTACCCGTATTTACTGTTAATTCGATTACATTTGTTATCTTAGACGTGAGATATTACAACTTCGCCGTTTCGCCGTCGTTTCCAGACCAGGAGCTGTCGGTTAATGTGTGAACTTCTAGTTCCAGCGACATTTCAAAGTCCTTGACAATTTACACTTTAACTTACAAAGCATATGCTTTGTGTACCAACGAATTAATTTGCAATTTACGAGTCTAAAGTTTCAGTTTTGCAGCTTCAGCAATGGGTGCAGTCATAGTTTGCCATTAATCGTAGCGTACTCTGCATGTATAGCTTGACCGTACAGATAGCCGAACTCACATGGAGTACAATTGCAAGCCACCTCCTCTCGAATTATGAATTCTCTGCTGTCCAAAATTGTTGAAATCTTTTACAAGTTAGTTCATGCAATCTGAAAATGTTAACCAAAATGTAGGTCTAACTGATTTGTTTTATTGAACTAGATCTCTCCACAAGTAAATTTAATGTTTTCGTGCGCAGCTTGAAGATTAATGAAAGTGAAATCAGAAAAAAAATTCCAACGCTGGTCGCCATCACGCATCTATCTGAGACCCCTGGCAAACTCAGCCAGCAAATGTCACCACTACACTATAGAAAGCCTCAGTTTCGATGCGGATATGCGCAGACGGCGCCAATGTGAAATCTCCTATTGCGAGGAGTAACGCTGTTCAATATTTGACTGGGTCTTTTTAAACAGAAATACTGAGTTGTCAAGAATGGTGTTATATGCCCTAAGAAGAGAGCAGCTCCGATGATTCTGTTATTAAAAATAATACAGTTTCCATAGCTCCCACCACTTAACACTCAACAAATAACAACATGAACTACGTGAAAGCAACTGGCAGAGCTCATTTGTGCAAATTAGAATTCAACTTCTATCGGAGTCTTTTCCTGCTTTGTAGAAAAAGCGGAGTTGCCATAATCGATTACGTCAGCATGAGTTTTCACCATAATTTGTAACTCGGGTTTTCGTAGTCTAATTTGCCACTTATACTGTATTTTGGTTACTACAATTTCCCCCAACCTTTATAAACATTCATAATGCAAATTTTGCCAGTGGTGTTGGGGGTTAAAATTCTGTCAAACAGGATGCAGATTGAGCTAGATCAACAGTCATCACATCGTGAATTCAGTCATGAAGCTGGTTCGAAAATCGGTATGCGGTGGTACCGCGTCGTGCAATCGGGACGGGGACGTTATCGTGGCCCGTGTCTCACGGGTGGGTTGCCTCAAAGCGGCGAGGCCTTGCAGTGCTCAGTGCTGACCACGATAGCTTGCTGGTGAAGGGATTTTTTTTAAGAACAGAGGGAGCATTTTTTTCAAATTCTATTTTTAAAAATGCAATTTTCAAAGAGTTTCACAAAACTATATTACGAAAATTACTTCATACAAAAAGCTTCGACCACAGCTGGACGGTCCAGCTAGTGGTGTGTACCGAGCCATACTACCGTCGAACTGGAATGTAAGCTTAACGGCAGGATCGAGGCGAATGGCTGCTACATCACTGACTCTATGTAGACAGGAAAGATCGGGCGAGCTAGCAGAACTACGCGCGGCTCAAGACGGGTAAGTCTGTCCACGGAGGAAGGAACACACTATATACGGTGTGTGGCGTGGCGGTGGTAATATATGTTTTCGTACAAAAGTAACCCCGTATCTAAAGCAAATTTTCTGTGTATGGTGATTTTATGTTGGATGCTCTTAAAATTTCAACGTGTATTTATGGGTTTTCATGTTTGCTGAGAATTAATACCTTCACTTTCCATTCTAAACAATCCCCTCTTTTCTGTTTTGATGATAATTATTGAAATGATCCTGCATATCTGTTGACTTTTTATATTCGAATAAAAAAATTATACTCCTAAATGTAGGGCCTCATAACTATTTTGAGGGGTGATCAATTATCTCCGAAGAGAAATATCTTCAAAACTCATCGATTAAGCCACTAAAATTGAAAGGAAAAATGAAACTCGAGGATCTGAGCTTAAATTTGACATTTGCCTTTAACACCTAAAACCCGTAGTTTTGTTCCTGATTTTTGAAGATTTAAATGTTTGATTTTTTTTCTTTCAATAACGCGATGAAGGGCATATTTCCTGTGGACGGAATTCACCAGACTATACACGTAACACGAAAATGACAACTTCTGGGTGGCAAAACCAGGGGGAAAGGAGAAGGCAATTGTCGGGGCTCTTTCATTTGCCTCGAGAAAGCATGAAAAGCCCCAAATTTAGCCCGACTCCTCAACTTGAAGGCCATGAGAGATTATATTAAGAACTTTTTCAATTTATGCACCCTGCGAACAATTTTGGTCCCTGAAAATTTTGTTTTGGATCCGCCCTGAAATATATTTATATCATGCGCATGACGAATAGACCAACGTGTTTGACTATATATCGTTACATAGATTTCTACACAATAAATGATATTTGTGACCATGGCCAAATTTTGCACACTATGCTTAGATCGACCAGATCTCTGTGGTCGGTTCCT